AATTATTAATTTGTAAACACTAAATTAGTAAATTGCTTAAATCTAAATTGAATGTTTTAGTCTTCTACTATTCAGTATTTAAAACATTGTGTTGAACTATAATATTGGTTATATAAATATAAATATTGCTAATTTCACCGTCATATTATGTAGTATTAGCTATTTAGGAAGTTATTATAAACTGTTTATAGTTTGAACWTACTGATAGGTACTCGTATTATTCAAGTTCTTAGATGTCTTGTGAAATTGTTAATGAAGTATTAACATATAAAGACAAGAAAAATAAATACCATTAATTTGGCATTAAACTGATATATTGTTGATTTAATTAATTTATATATTACAATTAAGGATAATGACTTCAATATTACAAAAAGTGTTGGATATCCCCAGTGTACTTTCTCATTTCTTGGAGGTTGATAATAAAGGTAGRCTTTACAAGAATTTAATTAACAWTTTTTCAGTATGCACTTGCACTAGTGTACTTAAACATTTACTAACCTATTTAATGTTTGAAACAGATATTACCAATTGCAAAATTTTGGGACAGGAACAAAATGGAGAGTTTATCTTGTGTTGGAACTTTAGAGATCAAGAGGGATCTTGTACTGCAGTAGGATTGTTTTTTTACACTATCAAAAAAATACAAGTAAATATTAATTAGATGTTATGTGGAGTACCGGGGGTAGTCAACCCCAATATTTTTTGAACGTGTTAATTTTTCTAAAATATCTGTTTTGGTATTTATCAGATCATTTATTGTGACTATCTTCCATAAGTTAACACTGAGGCTATACAATTTTAAAACAATTGTATTATATATAAGACAAAACAATATTAGTAGGTAGGTCTGCCCAAAAAACTTAATGTGTAAAGCATATAAAACCTATATTTAACTATCAACCAACATATTCCCTGTTATGTGTATTTTCACATTTTGAAATTTATCATGAAAAGAAAAATTTACATAACTTTTCCATAAAGTGTTGATTATGGAATTGTATCAGAGAGATGACACAAATCAAAATGTGGGTTTTCTACGATAGTTTGTAGTATGCGTGTCTAAAAAAAAGTAAATTATAAATGCTCATAATTCACTTAAAAACTAAGTTATCATAAGAAACCCTAATACAATCACAGATAATGTTTTTACCATCAAGTTTCATAATAGGTCAATTTACTCTAATTCTTACACTAACAGAGTTAAACATGATCTGCTAAGCCTAAATTTGTTATGTTACACACTTGCAAGACAAAGACAACAAATATGTGTGTAGCGTCCTCCAAGTAGATGAGGTCTCTGTGTTAGCAATGTRAGATACTAGCTTCTACAGTTATGAGTAGTAATTTTATTCCAAAATTACTAGGATTATAGTGGTTACATGTCTAATATATATACACTTTTTGTATCGAGATAACAGAAGTATTTTCATTGAAAAATAATATAATTAAATACATATTATTCTAATTTTCTAACTTCTAGTAATACCAGATCTATCTTAAATTATTTCCTTCATATGATTGTATACTTATACATATAATACATATAACAAAATAAATACGATACCTATTTTTGTTTTAAGTGAATAAAATATTTTTTGGATTTCTTAATTGTATAGGTAGTTTTAATTGAGTAATAAATTATATATTAATTTAATTTATATAAATTAGTTATGTCGTAATAAATCAAGTAATGAAATCTCTAAGAAATCGAATACCTATCTAYATATTAATAAGTCTTAAATAAAAGTATTCAAAATAATCTTGATTATAAAACAAAATAATTTATTTTATACTATTTCATTTCCAGGTTTTAATTAAATTCAAATATTTGTTGAATATTGTTCAAGCTTCAATCAATTATAAAAACTCAATTCTTGGTAATACTATTTCTTGTTACTGGATATTAGTAAATACTAATGTATTTTTAAAATTTACTTTCAGGCTATGTAACCAAAGAGCCATTCGAAGACTGCRTGGAATATTATCGTGTTTTTATTATCCACCTTGATTATCCTAATTTTGAGCCAGTTGATTTATGTCTTAACAACCGTCGTCAAACAATGATTCAATTTTTATACAGAAAACGTAAACAGCCTGACAATGATCGTTTTTTAGTTTTTATTCATGAAACTTGTAAGTTTTTATTTTAAATTATTTTAAATTATTTTATGTTTATAATTTTAATTGAGAAAATATTCAATCAAAAAAATAATCTAAACCTAACAACTGATACAAAATTAATATTACTTCTATTTAGCTATAACACTTTATCAAGTGGAGGAAACTGATAATGTAAAGGTGAACAGTTCTTATAATAGCATGCTCAGCATTATTTTATAGTTGTCACTCATTTACTTTATTATTATTTGATTGAATTTGATTGATATTTTTAGAACCATTTAAGTATAAAAAATCAAGAGAAGGTTGTGAATCAATTTTCATGGGCTCAGTGGGAGCCCCAGCATCAATGTTTGTTTTACATTCATTATTCAAATATGGCCAACAGTAATTCAGATGAAGCTAGTCTCTCTGCTCTACAATTTCATGATGAACCTCAACATGAAACTGTGGTATTTATTTAATATAGTTGGTCTGTTGTTGTTTTTAATAATAATTMTAATATTAAATAATATTCTAGTTAAATGTTCCATTAAACTTGCCAAACAGAAAAAACACTGCAGAAAATCTTTCCAATGGTTATTTTGATATTCCTGTACCATTGTGTGTTCATGACAGTATGTTAGATGTTCGCGTGTTGTCAGATGCACGAGGATTTGTTGCAGTTTGTCATTATTATTTATATCAAGTATGTACTTGTTGTATAAAATTTTTATTTCTTAAACTATTTATATTATTCTATAGAATTTATATTCATAACAAATGTGGACGACTAATAAATAATAGTTCTATATTTTTATATTTAATGATTCGATCTAGCTATTAAAAGGATTGGCTGTAAAAACTCAATCCATTTATTA